ACCTACAAGATGTAGTCTACATGCGGCAACCGGAAGGGTTCGTGGACACAGCGTATCCAAAAAGGGTGTTGAAGTTACACAAGTCTTTATACGGTCTGAAGCAGAGTGGGCGTGAATGGAACCAGAAATTGGACAGTACTCTAACCAGCGTATTGGTTTTGTACAAAGTCCCAGTGAGCCATGCATTTACACCAAGAACAACGGCGAAAAATTTAACATAATTGTTGTATATGTCGATGATCTAATTATTGCCTGTTCCAGAAAAGAAGACCTTGTCGACATAAAACTTCAAATCGCACGGGAATTCGAAGTAGTAGATGGCGGAGAGCTGAAACATTTTTTAGGCATGGAGATCGAGCGGGATGGAGAGACGGGCAGTGTGGCAATTGGCCACAAGCAGTATATTGACGGGCTGTTACGAGATTATGGCATAGAAGACTGTAAGCCGAATGAAACGCCTTTGGAGGTTGGTTATCAGAACCTATGTGTTTTTGAAGACTGTCCACGAGCCAACCAGTAGCAGTATCAATCGCTTATTGGATCACTGCTGTACCTAGCAATGACTACGAGGCCGGACATTGTTCATTGTGTGGCAAAGTTGGCTCAGAAGTGCTGTGACCCCCATAAGGAACATGAGGTGGCCGCTAAACGCGTCCTTCGTTACCTAAGAGGAACTTCGAGCTTGAAGCTGCACTTTGATCGAACTGGTGTGCCTGTTCACTGCTTTGTGGATGCAGACTGGGCAGGTGACTGTTCTGACCGCAAATCGTTCAGTGGTTGGGCGTTCTTTTTTGGCTGGAGCAGCGTTTTCGTGGGAGTCGAAGAAGCAGAGCATCATAGCACTCAGTAGCACGGAGGCTGAGTATGTGGCGCTTTCAACAGCAGCTAAGGAGGCAGCTTACGTGCTGAAGCTGATATCTGAGATGGGTTTCGAGACGGCGCCAACATTGATGATCTACAGTGACAACCAGAGCGCCCAATGTTTAGCGAAGAATGCGAGTTTTCATGCTAGAAGTAAACATATAGATATCAAGTATCATTTCATAAGAGATTTATATAAGAAGAAAGTTATTGATATTGAATATGTTCCAACCGAAGATATGATTTCAGATGTTCTAACTAAAGCTCTATGTAAAGTTAAGCACACAAAATGTATTACTTCACTAGGGTTCATCTAAAAAAGAATCTTTTGAATTAGATATACCGCGGTAAGAAGGAGTGTTGAAAATATTTGTATATGCACCACTGTATATCTTATTCCTCTTATGTTATACACTAAAGTAACGAGTAACGAATTATCATTCCTCTTTAAGTTCTGGTTCTTCCTGCGTGCAGCATTTTTTAGTCTCTAATAAATCGTCAAACCGAATAATTTTTTTTTATATTTTTCTTTTACATTGCAGTCAGTGCAATCTTGCTAGTGTTCCGGAGCAAGAGTGTGCCCTTCCATTACGCTTATTTTTTTCATTTACACACTGTTACTCCCAAGCGCTAGTAAAATTGCACTGACTTGTTTAGGGAAAAGCGTTATAACTTCACCAATTTTCGTAATAAACAAATTAAAATTGATCTCGTTTTATTCAGGATTAATGAGACAATATTGATATGTGTTTCTTTTGTTACATTTTTACATTTTTGTTTCTTTTGTTACATTCCTTTTTGTTTAAAAAAATTGAAGATGTATTTTTTATACCCTTGCAGAGGGTATTATAATTTTGTCCAAAAGTGTGCAACGCAGTGAAGGAGACATCTCCGACCCTATAAAGTATATATATTCTTGATCAGGATCACCTCATGAGTTGATATGAGCATGACCGTCTGTCCGTCTGTCCGTTTCTACGCGAACTAGTCTCTCAGTTTTAAAGCTATCGACTTGAAACTTTGCACACACCCTTCTTTCTTTTGCACGTAGTATATAAGTCGGAACGACCGGGATCGGTCGACTATATCCTATAGCTGCCATATAACTGATTGATCGGAAATGGTATAACTTTGGTGTTTTTAGAGTTAGAAAGTTCTAATTTAACATGAGAGCTATTTTTAACATGAGAGCAAAACAATACGACGTGCCAAATTTCATAAGGATCGGCCGACTATATCCTATAGCTGCCATATAACTGAAAGATGGGAATTGACCCAACTTTTGTGTTTTTGAAGATAGAAAGCTGGAACTTGGTACAGATTCTATTTTTGGTCAGTTCATCCAACCTACCAAATTTCATAAGGATCGGCCAACTAAATCCGATGTTTGCGATATATATCCGGTTTTAACTGCAAGGGTATATCAACTTCGGCTCCGCCCGAAGTTAGCTTTCCTTTCTTGTTTTTAAGCTACAACATTTATATATTGATAAACGTCGGAAATTTTAAAATCGGTTCGAAATTACACGTTTAGGAATTTTTAAGCGCAAAAGAGTCCCGGAAACGTTTTTTTCTAAATAAATCAAAATTTTGAGTGTGTTACAAAAATTTCAAACACGGTTTTCGATTCGTTATTCGTTATTCGGTTATTCGACCTAATAAACAATTTTTCCATTTTATTTGTCGCAGCATGTTTTTTTAGCCAAAAAATTAATTTTTATCATTTAACATAATTAAATTAAAAAAAATAATTTGGGAAACTGGGAAAATTATTTTATTTAAAATTTCCAGAAACTAACATTTGGGCAGGCGTAAGTGTCCCGGGGTTATTGGTGACGTCATTGGCATGGTGGAAAGAACTCAGGTGCATATTCTTGCCAAAGGAGACTTTTATTAAATGAAACCGCCTGGTTGGTAGGTCCTTTCCCGTTCCACCTTCGCCATTTGCCAGTCCGTTGTGAGAAGGTGTGGATTGAGCAATCATAGACCTCGCCAAAATCCCCTACCGCATTTATATAGTTCGCCACGTATCGCTTATCATCCATATGTCGCTTACCTTAATACTACACTGGAACAACCCTACGACCTTACATACTGTGACTGGGCCTGGTTCCCTGACCAGGACCTCGAATCTGCTAAGAGTATGCGGCTTTTTGCCATCTCTGCAGAGGACCTTTTCGGTTGAGTGCGCAGCCGCTTTGCCGTAGGTCCTTCTATGACCTCTTGGGAGCGTTCTCGTTAGGGTCACCCCTTTTTGGGAGCCATAGGCAGCAAGAACGCTTCTTCCGCCTCTTCACCCACTGAGCTTTTACAGGTTTTGGCTCTGTATTTTATAAGCGCTTCTTTCTCCGTATAGGTTAATTTCTGTTGGCAGCCTTTGCTAGCCACAAGAGGCTCGACTTTCCTAACCTCACCTGAAGGTGCTATGATGGCACTAGGACCGGGAGATGATACCATGATGGCAGTTTTGAATGGCTTGCTTCCAGCCATTTCCGATTTTGGGGAAGGCTGTCCTACTTTCCTGTATTGGCCTGACAGGTGCGCTCGCTCGCTCGTCATAGCCTTAGGCCCCTGGGCAGACTCGCTCGTCCTTGCCAGTTTGTTGTGTATTTTTTTAGAGATCCCGGCACCTTATTAAAATTTCTATTCTTTAAAATATACATAATTCCCCTTCACCCCTCTTCTTAGTTCCTGAACTAAGAATATATCGGCTCAATCTATCTATGAGGCCATTTCCTCTTCCTCTCACGACGGCGCCTGGTATAATGAGTCCTCCGTTAGAGGCTGGGGAGATAATTCTTTTTTGTTTTTTTTGGGATAGGAAGAGTGTAGGTTATATCAAAGATTACAAAGTACATAGATGGGACATCTCATACAAAGAAAAATTTTTATGGCGGGTTCCAGCGCGACAATTAAAGTTTAAGAAATTTTTCGCGCGGCAACGAATGAGGGATAGCCGAGTGCTTGGCTGATGTGCAAAGTAAAACAAGTTCAAACCAGGCTCGGGACACCCATTTTTTTTTTAATTTTAAATCTATTTATATTATATTTTTATTCTTTTAATGTGTTTTTCTAAATTTATAATCCAATTAAAAAAAAAAAAAAAATTTTAAAATCACCTTTACATTGTCTTAGTGCAATTCGCTGTAAAAATGTCTATAAGTGCGGATTCTATGAAAAATGTTTTAATTTTTTCCGCCGTGGAAAACATTTGAGAGCGGGTTACACGACAAACGGATGACAGATAAGAGAGGGAATGAGAGATTTAGATCGGAACGATGAAAGTTTGAAACATTCAAATCGAACCAATGTGAGAGCAAAGAGATCAGAAATATGTTCTACTATCCTTACTCTTCAGCTCTGTTTTTGGAAATGACCCAACTTTGGAAATGAAATGACCCGTGTTTTTGAAGATAGAAACTTAGTACAGAGTACATTTTTGGTCAGTTAATCCGTCCTACCAAATTTCATAACGATCGGTCGACTATATCTTATAGCTGCCATATAACTGAACGATCGGAAATGGTATTTGGAAGAAATACCAACTTTGGTATTTTTGAAGATAGAAACTTGCTACTTTGTTTTAGCTTTTTATACCCTTCCAGAGGGTATTATAATTTTGGTCAAAAGTGTGCAACGCAGTGAGGGAGACATCTCCGAACCTATAAAGCATATATATTCTTGATCAGGATCACCTCCTGAGTTGCTATAAGCACGTCCGTCTGTCTGTCCATCTGTCTGTCCGTCTGTCTGTCTGTTTCTACGCACACTAGTCTCTCAGTTTTAAAGCTATCGACTTGAAACTTTGCACACACCCTTCATTCCTTTGCACGCAGTATATAAGTCGAAACGACCGCGATCGGCCGACTATATCCTATAGCTGCCATATAACTGATTGATCGGAAATGGTATACCTTCGGTGTTTTTAGAGTTATAGAGTTCTAGTTAGAGAGAGAAGATCGGCAAACTATATCCGATGCTTGCGATATATATTCGGTTTTAACTGCAAGGTTATATCAACTTCGGCTCCGCCTGAGGTTAGCTTTCTTTTCTTGTTCTGTATATCTGTAGTTATATATTTTTCCCGAAGAAAGCATTTATTTAATTGTAAATTTATACATTTTTTAAAAATATTTTAGGTTTTGCAGCGTATTGACGACGTTTCATTAATGTGTGATAAACGCATCGCCAGTTTAAAACAATTGACTTTAAAACCACAAAGACCTGTTCAACAAGTTACTCCGAAACCAGCTGTACCTTTACAACCCCAGGGGGGAGCTCCTAGTTTCGTGCGCCGTAAATCCCACAAGGTAAATAAAAAAAGGTCACTGTGAAAAAAAAATTTTTTTATTCCATGTTTAAAATATAAAAGATCGAACATGTGGGAAATTTATTGAAATGCATAAACTAAGAAATATAATGTTTTTAGCAATTATTACGTTTACCCTACTTTAACCACGCTAGACTATGCCAGGTGACTCTAGGTCACGCGAACCACGTATGAAAAAATCAAATGTACATAACATCATCATCATACATCAAATGCGTATGTTTTAAATTTTCCTAGGTGTGTACCAAATAAAATTTTAAAATTGCTTTTAACAGGTATTATATCATTGAAATCTTTTTAATACCCATTTTAACCTTTCATATTGCTTCAAATGCCAATCTGGCGCAGAGAGAGAATAAGGTAAAAAAAGTTAGGTGCCACCAGGATCAGATACAAAACATAAGTCTAATAGCCTAATGAATTTTGAAACATGGTAAATTTGACCTAGTGACATGTCAAACATGCCTGCGGTGAAGTCTTGGGGCGTTATTAAGTCACCCAGAGCTACAAGCTGTTCACAATCGGACATAAGATTAGAAACGGAGTGAATAGTGGACAAATGATGCCAAATGATGCAATGAGGCAGTTTGGACGAAGGAGGTATATATGAAAAAGATTTACTGGACAAAATAATTTAAACACAAATAAATTCTTTATCACCAAACTCTTGTGATATAACCTTTTTAGAAGCAGGATTGAAGTCTGCCAAAATAAGGACTCCTCCCCCCTTCGCAGAGACCTAAAGATCTCCCGCTTTGACCAAGTTTCTGTAAAGGCTATAATGTGGGATTCAAGGAAAGAACTATCCAAAAATAGTTAAGGTAGTTTGCTACGTAGTCCCCTAGAATTATAAAAGGTCAGTGTTAGTTTTTTTTTTTTTTTTTTTTAACGTTGCTTTTTTTTCTTGAATCTTTTCTTTGCGAGACTAACAAGAGGTATATCAAATCAAATTTCGTCTTTCACTGCGAGGATGCCCAGATCCCGGTGGATGTTTTCGTTGCGAACATACCAAGGTGCCCCTGTGATAGTTCTCAAGATTTATGATTGTGCGCGCTGTATGATGTCTATGTTGCTGCTGCTCGCGTTCCCCCATAGTTGGAAGCCATACGTCCAGATTGGCTTTAGGACTGAATTGTACAGTAGTAACTTGTAGTCCAGGCACAGTGGCGATCGTGAGTTTATGATCCAGTGGAGGCTGCTGGCTTTCAGTTTTAGGTGCATCTTTTTGCATTCGATGTGCTTGCGCCAGGTAAGTCGTCTATCAAGGTGAACGCCAAGGTACGTTACGTCGTTAGCTTGAGGGATCGGCGTACCGTAAAAGCGGAGGGCTGTATTCTCGCTGTTCGAAGGCTGAGCGTATTTCGGATGTTAATCTGTTCACTTGTTCGATGGTTCCATGGTTTCTTTAAAAGCCAAATTGGTGTGCCGGCATAATATTGCAAGCTTCCAGATGTGGTATTATGCGAGTTAACAAGCATTTTTCAAACAATTTAGACAAACAAGATAGAAGGCTTATTGGTCTGTATGATGACGGAATTGTGTGGTCTTTTCCAGGCTTCGGTATCATTATAATGATGGATTTCTTCCAATTTTTTGGGAAATAGCTAAGATTAATGATTCCATTAAATAGTTTGCAGACGACCTCTATAGTGCATTTTGGAAGTTCGATCAGCATCTTTGGGGTCAATAGGCCACCACCGGGAGCCTTTTTTGGTTTTAGCCCTCTTATGACTTTTTCGATTTCGTTCGGCCGGAATGAAGGTGCGGCTGGCTGAGGGGAGGACTCTGGCTGAATTTCTGGCAGGGCGAATGTTTCAGCTCGGTCTTCGTCGCTGCGAGCCCAGCACCCCGAAGAGTTTCTCATCGGGGTGGTCGTTTCAATTGGGGCGCTAAGATTTGGGTGGGACCTCCACAGAGGGTACTTTGTGCTTGTTGGCGAGAGATTCTGGATGTCCCTCAGCTGTGCATTTTCTTCCTGTTGGTGAAGAGACTGGTCGAGTGATCGGGTTGCTTCCTTAAGGCGTGATCTGCTGTTTTGAAGCTGGTGATCTGCTGTTTTGCCAATCACGACTCGTGCGCCTCTTTTTTCGCACGAGCTGTTCGATTTGCTGATTAGATTTGAAGTGTTTGGTCTACATCTTTCCTATGAGGAGTAGAGATTTTAGCTGCCGCAACGAGTACTTCTTCCAGGGCGCTCGTAGTGTAGTCGATGTCCGATTCCATGTTAAATTCCGGGGCGAGTTCTATGTGGGCACTCACGTACTTCTTGTATTTTAGCCAGTTCGTTTTTGGCGTCGTCAGGCTGAAGGGGTGTTCGGTTATTTCTGGGCTTTAAAGAAGCGTTAGAAGCACAGGCGAGTGGTCTGATGATAAGTCCGAGACTGCTTTGGCACTTATTAGATTGCGAGTCTGTTGGCCAGTATGTGGGACTTCCAGGGGAAACGTAGTCCAGTTTATTTTTCACATTTATAATTGCATTGTACAATTGTCTTCCTTTGGGAGTCACTAGACCTGATCCCCAGTGCGTATGTTTCGCGTTGTAGTCTCCTGCGGCTATAAATCGATCCCCAAGTGAATTGTAGAAGTCCATAAATTGTCCTTCCGAGATTGAGAAACGAGAAGGGCAGAAACGGCAGCGATTGAAAGGATTCCGTTGCTTGACTGAATTTGTATCGATGTGGCCTGCAAGAAGTTTGTTGCAAACCTTTTGTGAAAGTGGTGTTTAATGCGTTCTCTGATTAGAACTCCAGTTCCGCCGTGGGCTTTCCCATCTGGATGATCTGTGCGGTAGATTGGGTAGCCTCTTGTATGAAAGTTGTATTTGCTTGTAAGATGCGTTTCCACCAGTAGCATAACGTCGATATGGTTTTCGGTTAAGAATTGTGATAATTCTAGTTTATGCCGTGAGACACCATTGGCGTTCCACATTGATATTCGTAGCGCCTGCATAGATTATTTAGACTGTTGTGCTACGAGCAGCTGTATCACCATGTTCTGGTTTTGAACAAGCGTTTGCATGGTCGTTTTCATGAATGACATAAGCTCCATCATGCTTTGTTGGAGGGCAAGCATCATAGTTTCCATTTTGCTGTGTGGCTGTTCTGGGGCCTGTTGAGCGCTTTGAGAGTTAGGCTGAATTGGAATTTCCCTTCCAGATCGTAGAGCATCGGCGTAGGAGAAGCCGTTGGTGGTGTTTAGTAGACCGAATGAGGATCTCGCAGCTTTGGCGAGGAAGACGTCTGGCGTAGTTTTTGACGGAATGTACGCATTCTGTGGATTTTGGTTGCGCGTTGCGGTCGCTTGACGCATGCGACTCTTTAACTCCTTATACACCATACATCCTCTATAGTTTGCCGTATGGTTGCCTTCGCAGTTTCCACATTTCTTCACGGTACTGTCCTTGTTCGTAGTGCAGCAAGCGGACTTGTGGGCGTCCCCGCAGACTACACAGACAGCCCGAAGTGTGCAGTAAGACCTTGTGTGTCCATACTCTTGACAGTTAGTGCATTGCACTGGACCGTTGCGTTTATGTGGCTCTTCAACAGTGATTTTCCGATGCAAAAGATATTGCAGGTTGTAGATTGGGTGGACTTCGTTCTTCTTCAGCGACCTGCTTTCTGGCTCAAGCTCGACCTTGAAGAGGGGTTTTGGCTTTTTATCTTTATTTAGAATGTTAATAAAATTCTTGGCGGCGAAGCCCTTTTCTTTAAGGGCGGTTTTTATTTCCTCGGCGGTAACATCAGGTTCTATTCCCTTTACTACCACTTGTGGGCCCTTACTGCTTTTCAGCTGGTATGTGTAATAGTTTTTCTGTACAGTGTCCAGATATTTGGACACGATTCGGAAGTGCTCTTCAGTCTTGGTTTACACCTTTGTTTCATGGATGTTCCCTTTGATAAGTGGAACAACATAAAGTTGTCACCGTTTCCGATCAACGACGCAATTTTGTTGACCAGGGCACTCGAGCTTTTTTCCCTAATATAGATTGGAGGGGGCTTGGTTTTTTTTGCGGTGTCTTGGGCTGGTTGGTTTTCCTCAACCTCCGCCAGTAGGGCAAATCTGTTAGTAGTGGATCTGTCTGGTTCTTTATCGATATTCAGGACACGGTTAATTTTTGTTTTGTTGCCTGTCGGATTACTCTGCGGGCTAAGCTTGCTCTTAATTTGGATGTAGCGATCCATTCCAGTCTGTGTGGCCGTTACCGCTATGCCAGTTTCCGAGTTTGTTGTTCTTGTACTCGCTGTTGTCGTTGACGTCGCGGTACTTTGAGTTGCAGAGGTTTTCGCTGTTGTAGCAGAAGTTATAGCGCTGCTAGTTGTTGGTGCGAAATTTGTTTCCGATATTGGAGGGGGGGTTTTACACTGCGAACTCCATGACGCGGGAGTCGGAGTGAGCAGAGCGGGTGAGCAAGACGTGCCCTTTGGGTTTCAACGGTCAGTAAAGCCGGGTTGCTTATAATCGCCGATTTTTCCACTTCGGTATCGCGGGTTGAAAAGTAAGAGTAGAAGCCGTTTCTTTGGTTCACTGAACTTCTACGCTCGTTCTTTTGATCGTTGCTCAATGAGCTCATTGCGTGGCTCTTAATTTTTTTTTAACAATGCACTAGTTTTGGTTTAGCACATCACAACTGTTATAAAAATCTTGTCTGTCGCTTTTAGTAAATTGTAGTTCAGCGTCTTTTCGCTTATATTGGGTTACCCCAGTTTTTTTTTGATTAGCTGTATTATGGTGCAGTTTTCCCGGAGCTCGGACAAAGCACGTCCGCTCAGTTCGGTAGTTCGTAAACCTTTTGGTCAGTGTTAGTAAGGAAATTATTTTTTTGAAGTTTTTTTTTTTTTTTTTTTTTTTTTTTTTTTTTTTTTTCGCGGTCTTTCAGAATTTGGAAATGGCTTGTGCATCAATAAGAGCATCAGCTAGCATTCCTGTATTCATCATAAAGCTTAGAGGCCCAGACGACCGAGGGGCGCTCAAGAAACGATT